TTTTTTTTTCTTTTTGGTTTTAGGTCAAAAGTTATTTCTTTACAATTATCTTTGCTCTGTTACAAATGAGTGCTCTCATCTGGTAAATAATTATTTTAATTTAATATAATCGAAGATTTAATTTAGGTATATTGTTTCATATATTCCTGGTGGTACACATGGTCTGAAATTTTTCTCGAAACTTTTTTATATATTCGTTTCAAAAACTGTTACAACAACATTGTCAGTTTAAAATTAATAGAGAATTTTTGTTTGTATTATTGTAAAAAAAAATTTCTTTGTTTTTTTGTTGTTATTATTATTATTATTGATATATTACTAATTCTCAATATGTTAAAGAAAACAAAAAAGAATTGTTTGTAAAAAAAAAAGATGTGTTGTTTATTTGTTTTAAAGATATGTTCATTAGATCTTTTCTTTCAAAAACAAATTCGAATGGTCAATTAATTATTTCAATTCGAACATTTAAACGTTTTGGTGAATATGTTAAAAGTTATGGTCATGAACCCAAATATTATCAAGGAGGTAGATCAAATTTTTCTTTTATGTTTTGTTGTAAAATTAAAAGTTGCTTTTTTTTTTGTTTTTGCTTAGGTTATCTTCCACGAACAGCTCATTTAAAAGATCCACCTAATTATTTACCACCATTTATTGATCCACATGAATGGACTTTAGAAGCAGCTACTTTTGGACAGAATGATTATATTGGTAATTAGAGTTCTAATAGTAATGTTCATTTCAAAATCTCAAGTATACAAACATATATGATTTTTCAATAGATTATGTATTGTAAGAGGAAATACAATAATGTTTGTTTTTGTTTTTTTTGTACAATTAATTTTTGTTTTTGATGAATTCTAAACAGTACGAAAGTGATATGATGCAAGATTTTGTCATCTAATTTTCTAACTGAAACTTTGATGACGAGTGCTGATATATTCAATTGTTTATCATACTTTATCAGTATATTGATTAGATTTAGATAAAATATTTATAGAAACAGTGACATACACATGCCTTCGTGGCTAATATGCGATTAGTTATTGAGCGTAAGAAGTCTGCGTCAGATCAGCTTTCTGTTCAGAGTTACAGCTAGTATTAGTTGTAGAGAAGACATAGAGCTAATGAATCTGTCGCTAAACAACACTCCATACTGCAAGGTAGCTGAAAGATAGGATTATTCTTCCTTTCAAAGCCATATTGTAATCTGATATTCTGTTTAAAAATACCGATTTGATGAAAACGAAAATATCCTACTAGTTCTAGCAAGAGAACTTTCAGTCAGAGACAGAATCGGTTCAATTCTAAAGAAATACGAATTGATTCCATCTCTGCTTCAAACTGTGTTAAATAAATGCAAGAATAATTTGTTGTTATTAATTTAACTATAGATATTCTCGGTGATGAAAATGTTGAACATTGGCAATTAGTTCGTAATGCTCCATTTTGGTTACGTGGTTTTCAAGGTAATGAATTACAACATTTATTACGTCGATTAAAATTTCAAGGTAAATATTTGGAAGAAAATCAACCACAACGTTATTCAGATTTAATAACACGTATACGTTATCTTATGTTTAAAATTAATTTTAAACATTATAAACGTCCATGGCTTATACGTCCAACTGTTGGTCCAAATGAACCTCTACCAGACTATTATGATCCACGTTCTAGTTAAAAGAAACAAAATAACAATAGTTAATTTGATTTGTTTTTTTTTTTGTTTATTATAATTAGAATAAAAACGAAATAAAAAGAAAAAAATCTACAAGATATTCTTAAAATTTCTTTAATTTTGCTCTTGATTTTGTTGTACGTGGTGGATCGATAACAATGGGTCGTTGAATATAATGACAATATGTACCAACTTCAGGTAATATCTTCCAATTCTTATGTCTTGTTATATTAGCCGCTGTTCCATTCATTTTAAATACTTGTCGTATATCATATGAATTTGTTGAATATTCCAAACTATAACCTAATGAATCAAGCATTGATTGAACGTAGAGACGTATTGGACGCATACGAGGATTTAATCTATCGGTCCATGCAATATTCCATTTCTCAGCTAATGTTAATGTTTCATCAATAATCATTTTTCGAAGAACATATACTTCAGCTTCTGGCATACTTATTTTAATATCTAATTTAGTGTTATTTGATTTAATTAAACGAGAAAGCCACAATGAAAAATCAATCGCATCTAACATTACTGAACGATTTTGATCTAATGAAGAAGAAAAAAAA